CGAAACCGTGAACCGAACCGTGGATTTTGTAAACCGTTCCACCCCTACTAAATATAATTGCTAACTTGGCTTATTAACTTTTTAACTTTACAATTTAACTTTTCAATTATCTTTTTACCTTTTTTTTTCTTGAATTGTTAACTTTTGCTTTTCACAGTAGGTAATATATGCATACATTCAAGGGCTCATCTAATTGGTCAAATGCCAAAATAGGATGTACAGCCATGTAGGAGGATCTTTGCTGAATGGCCGGATATAGATCTTGTGCATCTAGACCTCACTGAGGGGTGGGGGAAGACTCCATTAGTAAGGCAAGTGATCAAAAATGGTAACTTGCCCTATAAAGGGTTAAACTGCAGAAACCTTTTCCAGAAACCACTGTTGCAGTGAGAATATTACACAAAGTTTGCGATCTGAGAAACAGATTAAAGCAATCCCAACTACAGAGGACATGATGATTTAGACTTTAAATGTTATTGAAGCAGACATACTGCTACTGCCTCTGTATGTGGTTATTCTACCTACAACACTCCTCTAAAAGGCTTCAATTATTGACGACCTGTGGATTCTACAGGCCTCTTCTGAATTAAAACTGGTTGTAATTCATTTTCAGAACTTATCTGCCATGAAACAGTCATAAATTATGCATCTCGATAGGCAATTGCTTTGGTTCTCAATCTTGGTCCTCAGGTATCACTGACCAGCATATTGTAGACACGTCCCTGTTGAAGCAAACCTGCATTAAGTGCTGCAGAAGCCTGATAATCATTCATTCACACAAGTCAGGTGTGTGTCAGCGCCTAAACATGCAGGACAGCGGCCCCTGAGGACCAGGATAGAGAACCACTGGCCTCTACCAGCTTTATGATTTCAACAGAGTTTATTCTACTAACATGTTTCCACACAGTTTCGGCTGGCAGTAATGTGCTTCTAAATCATAACAGCTATGAAGAAAATACAATATAACTTTTGTTTTATTCTGATTTCCTGCTTTTATCCTACAGTGGGCTCTGCTATTACACTAAGGGGTGATCTTCACCAGATTCCAGCAGCAGTTTTGCCAGAGGACCTATTTTGTGGTAGGGGTCTTAAAATTTAGTTAATGTCTGGTGTCCACACCCCACCATAGAAATTAAGAAGAAAAAAAAACATTTCTAAGTATAAAATAAGCTAAGAAGTGAGGTTCTGAAGGAAAAACATCCAAGAAAATGTAGTTGAATAACCTTAGTTAAATAAAGAAGTAGAGGATGTATCGGCTGGTTGATATTTTGGGCCACTTTTTTCCCGCTTGAATTGACTAAGGTTGGATTAAAAAAAACTGTTTTGTTTAAATTGAGACTTGTGTAACATCTGTTATGATTGTGTAAAGTTTTCAAGAAAAAAAAAAAACACACATATATATATATATATATATATATATATATATATATATATATATAAAAGAGCATTTTCTTCAAGAAAAGGAACTAGACTGAAAATAGCTTTTAGAGAAGTCAAAATAATCAGTATTGGCACTGGCATTAAAAAAGTGCATCGGCCAACCTCTTTATTTAAGCATGCCTTGTATCTAGCTGCCATGTCACTCCTGAGAAGAATCAGGGACATGAAAGAGTCTATCCAGCTGCCACCACTATGCTTTAACACTGGCATGTTATTTGTAGCGTTAAATTCCACCATATGCAATTGTTTTTTTTCATATAGATCACGTTCTTGCCCTCTCTATGCAAAATGTAAACATAATTGCCATGCATTTTACTCTGACGTCACAACCATGCTATTGTTTTGTATTAAATAAATTAATCTGGGGGTGCACCGATAGCAGGTTTCTGGCCAATCACCAATGCCCGATCTTTAAAAAGCACGTCGTACCAATTCTGATTTTTAGCGACACAATTTTTTTAATAACAGACACTGTCAGTTTTTATAACACCACAAGACAGCTTCAATAATTTTATCTTATCTTATCAAACTGAACTCTGCCCTTGTCCAGTAACTCATAATTGTGTTTAAACACTGAAGGTATATGAATGACACCTGCTTGGTTTCCCAGAACACTGGGAGTCTGGACCTGAAGGAAGCCTGTGAGATCAGGAAATAACAAGGAGTAGAGGACAGCTATGAATAGCAATAAAGCCCAAACAAAAGCCTAAAACTGCATCATATTATGGCTTCCAAGGGAGGAATCCAGTCCCGGTTACACTTCCTCTATTGTCCAATCCGACACTGACACCACCACTTTAACAACAGAACAGGTTTCCCCTCCAGGACACTTAAAACTAATCTTCCAAATACAGATACATGTAATGGTTTCTGATTTAGCACTATTATATGCAACAATATTACATCTTGCTTTATTTCTATTTTGATTAGGATGAAGAGAAGCAAATCCATATTGCGCTTATAGAAAGAATCAACAGTTAAACCATTGACAGCTCAACTGGTTCATAATACAAGCATCCAATAGGACTTTAAGGATCAAATGGCTTCAGTCTCCAAACATGACACACCCAGTGCTGTTAAAAGGTTAACATTTCTAACATCACTATATGATAAAACAACAATTAACAAGTGGAAACAGTTTAACACTACACAAAGCTTTGTCAATTTTTATGTAAAATTTGGAAAACTTAAGCCAAAAAGAGAAATTTCCTTCAAGTTAAAACTAGTTTTACATGATTGACAATCATTCAGCTAACATGTAATTATACCATAAACATGATTCAAGTATGTAAGAGTGGGTCTCTGTAACTAGAGGAGCTGTTCAGTACGAGGCTTCGAACTATGTGCATCTAAAAGCAAAACATTCTGGGTTTTTTTTTCTAAATTACAATTGAAAGAAACTGAACAGCGTAAGTGCTGTTCGTTTCACTCCTTTTTTATTGTAAAACTAGAAATTTTGGGGATTTTGTAAAAATAATAATTTAACTTTAATGATCACACATTGGAGAAATTTACCTCTACATTTAACCCATCCCCTTGGGAGCAATGTGCTGCCATTGTGCGGCACCCGGAGAGTATGAGGCTCCGTTTGTATCAAAAATAAGCAGATGTAAAATGTCTAGATGTTGTGCTATTGTTGCATATGTGTTGTCTGCATTTATATAAGTTGCTCATGTATTTGTTGCATATGTCTATGCTGCATATGTCTATGTTGTATATGTAGATGTTGCATATGCAGATGTTGCCTCACTGTAATCTTGCCAGTCTGCATGTCTGAAACATCCGTGATTAAGAACCTAGTGGCGGAAAACTTGTTCGGTTGGTTGAGCTGCGATTGAAAAACTCGGTGATCCAGACACTACATACCATATAAAGCACTTTGAATCCTGCCAATGTGAGCACACATTTATTCACAGGACAGAGGCGGGGTCCCTTGGGGTTATTTTAAACTTTTAAGCCTATAAATTTACCTACACTCCAATGTTGCACATATACAAGATAGACATGCAGAAGCTATATATGCAACATCTAAATATACAACATAGACATACGGAATCTACATATGCAACAAATACATGTGCAGCTTATATGCAGACAACCCATATGCAAAAACAGCACAACATCTAGACATTTTACATCTGCTTATTTTTGACACAAACTGAACCTCATAGGGGAGCAGTGCAGGGTTACACTGTAAGATTTTTTGCCCTTTTCAGGCCGAATCTCCAGTCGCGCATCATATATTCTACAGGGGGTAACGAGGGGCCTCTCCTGACTACCTCCCGATCAGGAATCGTAAGGTCAAAGGAAAATCAAACATGTTTGAAATTCAGTCAACCGTCGTAAGGTTGCATGGAGCGTCGGGAGGCACTGTGAGAACATACATCGTGAGCTTTGAAATTTTAAACCCTGCCGTTTCATCATACAGTTTGAGCTGTAGCTGCGCGCAACGATTGAGAATATCGCAGAGTGTATGCCCGGCTTTAAGGGTTTTGCTCAGGAACCCAGAGTGGACGCTGTGGCGCACTGCTGAAACCACTAGGCCAACAAAGCTTATATGGGAATGAAGAAGCAATCTGTCACTGGATGTTTAATATCTGCATTATGTCAATTTGTAATCATCTTCCGATTATTTTATACCAACTTTGACCAATTATCTTTTTCTAAAATCCACTTTGTTTAATAATAGGAAATGTGGTCAAGACTCTATTAACCTATATCCACCAATTACTAATGGTAGTTGAGGATTATTTTGGTTTTAGTTTAATTAATCTCAATAGGGTCAGTTGGTGTCAGTGATATTTAAAAAATGTCATCACAAACCCATTAAAAGTTTTGGTTATGAAACGTTTTCTTACTAACATGCAGCCTTACTTTTTCATATGAATTTTATGTAATGATTTTTCCTCAATCAATAGAACACAATTAAAGACCCACTGACAGGTAAGTCTGATAAACTTTTATTCTATAATCCTAACAAAAGAGTTAAAAAACTCTAAAGCATTTTGCAGGATACAGAATATAAGATATTAAGGGTGTAAACCCACTGGTAATTGTCATCAGTTAATGCAATTCTTGCCATGATTTAAAAGTTAAAATCAATAAAGATTAGGGCTATAAAGACCAAATATTTCCAAATATTTTATAAAAGGCAGGTTGTAAAATCATTAAAGACGTCAGGTATAAGACAATGATGTATTTTGTGCGGAGAACAGGAGTGTTGTATAAACATATTCATTGTATTCATCACTTTTCAGACATTAACTGTACAGTTTCAGCGGGGGGGGGGATGATTGTAATGCTTAACTGCTACTGAGCGTCTAAGAATTTTGACAAATCCCCCGTTAAGCTTAATCAAACTGAAGTTGAAGTGTCAGCTCAGCTGATGCAATTCGTTGCATGTTAAGGCTAGCTGCTAGCCGTGCTAGCACCCTGCTTCAGTCATTCTGCCGCTCAAAGAGCAGAGCTACAGCAAACATAACCTCCACACTACTCTTACCCGTTCACTTCTTCTTTCGTCATGTCCAGTTTTATTCTTTAACAATTAGGACTGATTACTTTACAACTGTTTGAGTGAGGAAGAATAACCACATCAGCTGTTCACAGCATGGACGGGAACAGGAAGGAAGGGGCTGTTTTCGACCGAGCACAGTTCCGGCTGGAAACGAGTCACAGACTGTAGTTCCGCTGTATTGGCGTTTGTCCGGAGCAGACGAAATACCTCAAATTCTGTATGAAAATAACTTTGGTGTCATTTCCTCAAGGTGCACAGAACTTTTAAAAACAACAGAAAACGGTACAATCAAAGTAATTTAAAGAAATAAATGATACTCAGTCAATTCAATTGCCTGAATTTAATTAAAGGTGTTGGACTGTACTTTAATTAATGTTCAGGAACAATACTTAAAAGTGAATTATCAGTAAGAGAAATTAGAGTTTCTTTATTTATCTTTTTATGTATGAAATCTTAAGTATTCACTTGGGTCGATCCCCACTAAACCATTATGTTGTAAAAAGACATTTTGCTGCTGTCAGAGCTGCAAGTTTTTCAGGGTGCATTTCTACCAGCTTTTCACATCTAGATCCTGAGATATTTTAGGTTGTGAGATTGAATTTTTCCCTTTTTTTGTGATTAAGTAGATAATAGTTAGATTGAATTGAAATGTGCGTAAACAGCAGTTTTTTTTAAGTCTTGCAGTAGATTATCAGTTGTACTTAAGTTTTGGACTTTCATTTTTAAGGCATGAATATGTTTTGACCTAAACCATTTCATTGGTGCTTTATGATTGTCCCACTAAAATGAAAATGCTCTCACAGTTTTACATTTATCCTTCTGTAATTAATTTTCATCCGGAACTGTTCAGGTTTAGCTACATAAAGGTGCTGATGAACTATGACTAGCTTTCATGGTGACACATGGTGAAGCAAAACATTCTCACAATGTGGATTAGGCTACTTTGTGGTAGTCTATCCATCAAAACCCTCATAAGGATGCAAGTAACAAAATTCAATTCAATTCCTTTTTTTCAGAACAGGCATCCAGTCATTGCAAGACATGCTCCTCCTGGATTAGCTTTCAGTGACGATTTTTGCTTGCATTTTGTCGTAAACTCTTGAGAAAACCCTCACACAGAGCATGCAATAGAGAAGAAAAAAAACTATTTTAACAGGAAGAAACCTCCAGTAGATCCAGACTCAGTGTGACCAGCCATCTGCAGAGGCTGGCTGTGGTCCAATGAGATAGCAGAAGCAGAGAAGCAGACATACAAACAGGCAGACAAGCTCTGAGCCACTTCAGAGATAGAATGAAGGAGAATGAGGAAAAATGGTCCCTATGTCATCCAGCAGCCCAAACATATAGCAGCATAAATACAGAAAATAGCTCAGGATAACCTCAGTATTTTGGATGAGATATTAGAAAGACAGAGTCACAAAATGTGAAGTTTAAGGGCATTAATTGCCTTGATCAGTCACTTTACAATTAAGTTACGTTTTCATTACCTTTTTTTATTTTAAACAACTATAACTAGTGACCAAATACGACTAGGTTTTATATACTGTTCCTTTTGAAGTTAGATTAATCAATAAGATTTTAGGACATATAGACTTTGACTGTAATGAAAATATTCTGTCAAAGTCAAGAAAAATAAAAGACATATTAGAATCATCTCAGAAAATTTTCTAATGTTTATCTAAAGAATTAGACTGAACTCCCACAAAATATATAATTATCAAATGTTAGGTACGGATAATTAATTGTGGGACCTTTTCTTTTTCAATATTTCCATTTGTTGTGTTATAAAGGCAAAAACATATGTCTTAATAAAAGATACCTGTATGGCTGGTTTTAGCTCTCTGCTCAATCTATAAGGCATGAGGAACCGCATCATTGCACTTGTGGTCCTCTTGGTTGGTGGTCTTATCTTGGGATCTACTTCTGTTTTTGTGGGTATGGTGGTAGACTATGAAGGGAATCGTTGACATTTACCCTCATATCAAAGCTAAATATTTGACTTTTGACTTAAAAAAACCTGCTTATGGAAGTGGACAACTTCTCTAACAAAAAAAGCCTTTCAACTACGCTTCCTCCCACAATGTAAAGGAAATAGCTACATGTAATAAATGTATATAAACAGCCAGCTTCAGGTGAAGGTTACTTTACAACCCCTGTACCTTCAAAAATTGTGAAATTACATTTTCACCTTTGCTTGAGTGCTCTAAGTGCACACAGTTATTTACTAACCTTTGCAGGAACAAGTTGGCAGTGATGGAGGCTTGACTTCAGCGGGGGTGTCATCAAAGCTTTTCTCAGGCTGCTGGCCACCGGAGCTCCTGATGCAGGAAACAGGCTTCCTGTCGCTCACTTTCCTCCCTAAAACAACGTAACCTTTGGCGGAGTGAGTAACTGCGCAAAAGTTGCTCAGGCTGTTTGTTGTTATTCTAAGCTGAGGTTTGTTAAGCTTTAAATCTTGTTTTCACAGTCCACAATGTTAACCACTTAAGGATGAGTACTTTTATGGAAATATGGATTTTTAAAACTTTGCCTGGCAGAGATAATGAATCACCAGTAGGAGCAATTTCCTGCTTTCCCCAACAACTTTAGCCTTTAACCCAGGATCTCAGCGTTCCTGCAGGAAATAATTTGAAATAAGTGTGTTTCAAAATTAAAATATGGAAATATAAACCATTCAAATTTCACTTCTTTCATTCTGCTTACTAGTTCAAATGGTAGGTTATTGAAGGTAGAAACTTTAAAAACTGCCCCTTTAAATGAGGCATCAGAGATCTGTGTTGTTGAATATTGTAGTTTTCCATTACACAGAGAGAATAAAAGCTTTAATAATGAATGGAGCCGAACATTCTTGTACCCAAGATGTGAATTCCTAACAGGACTGCTTATCTAAAATTTAAAGACTCTTTTGAGGGCCAAAGTCTGTTTAGAGAGCAGCAGAACCCATGTAGCCCCTTCCTTTTATGATCATGCAACTTATAGTCAGTTAGAAATTAAGGTATTTATGTTTAATTACACCAACTTAAAGATTTTAGTGATTCTTTGCAAAGATACAGTTACCATGTAAGATTCAGTCTTTCTGAGTTTTTATGTTTACATTTAGCCACATTCCAGAGATAAGGATCAACACAAGGTTACATACATGGGTGAGGTAAAAAGAAAGATATGTTTCTTTTATCTATTTTTAAGGACACTGATTCTTAAGTTAGTATTAAGTCCTAATTAACCTGCTACAACTAATTCAAATACACAGTGACACATGTCATAAGTTGGAGAGAGAGAAGAGTTTGTAAAAAAAAAAATCTGAAAGGTGTGGTTTGCATTTTAGCCCCCTTTAGGCTTTTTTTTTCTTTCTTCATTGTAAAAAAAAAGCTGAAGCGCAGACTGCTTTCCTGTCAAGTTTGCACATACTCTGAGTCCTTTTTTTAGGTCTAAACTTTGATTAGGCCATTCTGAAAAACGAATATCCTTTGATCTGTACCTTTTCATTGTAGCTCTGGTTGCATATTTAGGGGTGTTGTTTAGTTGGAAGAAGAACCTCTGCACTTTTTTTCTAGTAATTTGCTACATTTAGCTTCATCAACCTCAAGCAGCATCCTTTTAAGACAATAGTGTTGTCAAAAGTTTTAATTTGGTCTCAAAACAGCATACTCTTTGGTACTTTTTCTATGCTTATTGTTGTAGCATTAAAGACTTTAAAAACCATGAATGCTTTTGTGAAATGTTTTCACTCGCTGCAGCTGTTTTACTAGCTTTAATTTTAAAAACTGTATTTTTTCTGTCCGGGAGTTTAAAAAAAATCTCTTGTTCATAAAGCATAAATGCAAATAAAAAGACAGAGGTGAGGCACAGCGATGGCTGATGCTCCTGCACAGGATGAGTTCTTATGCTAAATAAGGCTCATTTGGCTACATTTCCAACTTAAAAAAACCTCCTCATGTTTTATACTGTTTCACTGCACCAAAACAGGCATTAACCATTCGACTTAATGGAAGCACTTTACGCTTTTTTTCTCTCCTGGTAAAGATATGGAAATTTATCTCCATGGGAGTTTGTAATGAATGCCTGGGCTGAATTGTGGAAAGGGCATTTGATGGCTTCATTCTCCTTGACATCAATTGTTTCTGCATCCTTTGGTCTCCCAACTTGAACATCAGTCTCTGTCACCAGTGATTAAATCTGTTGCACACATCCTAGTTAAAAGACACTGATGTGGATAAATGTTCATAACAAGTTATTCTAAGATTTTATGGGGTCATAATTGTGTTGTAGAGAATTCATACAAGTGATATATTGCTAAAGCCCTCATGAAAGACAATGCCTGTCTATTTGCATCTCCTGAATACATCTATTTATGGCTAAGCTGACCCACTGACCCTCTCTATTAGGTGAATTAGAGCACTTCTTGTTTACAAGCCTGACATAATGATAGTAGTATATCTTGCAAACTGGAAAAGAAAGAAAATAAATCAGAAGGGAAACTTAATGTGATAGTTTCTTTGTTTAGGGGCCATATGGGTGCTAATTCAAAGATTTTTTTTTCCGCTTTTGTGTTGCTGTCTGCTTAAGATGTAAAGTGCACAGATGTTCCTGCAATTACAGGGTCTGTCTGTGCAGTTCCCCTGCATTAACAGGCCGGTTCAGGTGGTGACATTTGGTAGGAGGCTTTCCACCCCCACAGCGTTACTCACCCACCTACTCCCCAAAGGGGAAAACAAGCGGTAAAAACCATCATCACACAACATTGATGGAAAGTACAGGGCACTTTTATTTTTACAGTACAAAAAAACAGGTACAAAAAGCAACTTTCATAAATCAAGCATAAGCCCAGTGTAAACGACAGCAATAAATTATAGCTTTCATTTATTCACACAACTTAAGTGCGAACAAAAACAAAAAAATGCTACAAATAACATTATGTACAAGGTTTCCAAAAGCAGCTACCAGTGAATAAAAAAAAAAGTTAAGAAAAATGAAACATAACCTCGGCGGGGCATCACAGTCTGCAAGGATAGTAACTAAGATTTTTAATGGAAAAGAGACCCTGCTTCAGGACACAATGCTACTTAAGGAGCCAACCATTTAAAAAAAAAATGTAACAAAAACACACAATTGCAGTTTTCAAGGCTTACAAAAGCCAAAGCATAAAAAAAACCTCTTCTTTTTTACATATTTACAAAATGTAGTAAGTTCTTTCAAAATAAAGCTTAGGGTTTTTTAGTCTCTCCTGAGAGTATAAAGTGAAGAACTCCCAACATTAAGTGTCGGTTAACTCGACAAAACACTGGAAGACTCCGATTCTGTAGACACAGAAGAAATCTGCCCTCGCTTTTTGGTCATGAGACTTGTTTTCTGGCTTGATCTGCTGCTGCTTGTGAGGGTGCTTAAAGCACTTTTCTTAAACTTCACCCCCAGGAAGGCATAGAGGATAGGGTTCAGGCAGCAGTGGAAATAGGCCAACGCTTCGGTGATGGAGATCCATGTCTCCACTGCCTGCTGCAGCGCGCAGGTAGTGGGCACGACATCCAGCATTAGAAGGGTATCCAAAAAGATGCCAATGCAGTACGGCAGCCAACACCCAAAGAAGCAAACGATGAGGATCACTGTGGTTTTCAGAGCTTTCTTCTTCAGCACCTGGCTCTTTGAACCTTGGGAGAGCCTGGAGATGATGATGCAGTAACAGATGAGGATAACCAGTCCGGGCAGGACGAAACCCACCAGGATGTGCTGGAAGCGGAAAACCACTGTCCATAACAGACTGCTTTCTACTGGGTAGATGCGCTGACAGATGGTTCTGGAGTTAGTACTCTCCATGCTGTCCTCCTTGAAGAGGTAGTTGGAGGAGTTCACATCCTTGACACGAGCAAACACCAGATCAGGTACAGTGAGGATGGCGGCAGGCAGCCACACTCCAACATAGATCACTCTGTTTGCAAGCAGCTTTCTCTTGCCCTGACTGTTGGTGGCATGGACAATCGCCAGGTACCTGTCCAAGCTGATGAATGCCAGGATCAGGACGCTGCTGTACAGGTTCACCGTGTAGATCATGTGCACTGACACGCAGAGGAAGCTTCCGAAGTACCAGGTTTTGACAGCGTCCACAGCCCAGAAGGGCAGAGTGAGGACGAACAGAAGGTCAGCCACTGAGAGATGGAGCCGGTATTTATCCGTCATGGTTTTGACCTTCCCCTGGTAGCCCATCACAGCAACTACCAGTCCATTGCCTACAATCCCCAGGGTAAATATTATTCCATAAACCGTAGGGAGGAAGATTTTGTTGAAGTTGGTGCCGAGTAATTGACCACATGGCTCTTGGATGGTTAGTTCAAAGTCTGCAGACCCCTCAGAGATGTTGTCGGTGTTGTTGTTGTCAAAAAACAGGTCAAAATATGCCTCCTAGAAAATAAACATAAAAAGTTTGTATTAAAATTTTTAAAAAGCTAGAAAATTATTTGTTTTCCATATTAATTATAACAGTAATAATAATAAAAAAAACTTTACAAAGCTGGAAAACACTTTAATAAACATGGGAAGCAAAAATGTGAAGTTAGAACTGCTTGAACCGTTGCAACAGTTAAGAAAACAGCAGGACTCACCTCTCCCATGTTTAGCGCTGGCCGATCTTTTAGTTTTGGCAACAGTGAGCGTGTGCTTGAACCTTCAGCAGGGTGATTAATTGTGGCAGCCTGTAAGCGGACCTTCAACATTAAGTAGGGAGATCCCGCTCCCCCAGCCCGCCTCCCAAGGGAGGAGGAGGAGGCGGGGCCGCGCTGCGCACGAGGTCTCCAAAAACAGGTTCACTATAAAACCCAGAAACTTTCCGCATGAGACGGGTGTGAAACATGTGAAACTTCTCATCCTGCGAGAAAAAGACGTTATAGGTTCAAAAAACGACTGTAACCAGACATGAAGCACAGGGTGGGGAAAAGATCTGAAAAATAGTGAAACCCAGACACAGACATGTCCAAAACGTTAGAGAAAAAAAAAATCAAAACGAAACACTGCTTCTTTTATTGAAATATCATTTGCGATATGTTTTGATATTTTTAATAAGTAAAGATACATTACTTTTCCCACTCTTCTTTGCATGTCTCTCGTGGAGAAAGTTAAAAAATAAAATAGACTGGACTGTTTTTCAGTAAAGTGAGATTTATTGTCATTTTGTACATCAAAGTCACAGTCTGTCTATCTATCTATCTATCTATCTATCTATCTATCTATCTATCTATCTATCTATCTATCTATCTATCTATCTATCTATCTATCTATCT